CCTCTTAATTTGAGAAAATGAAGGTAGAACATGAATATATGTTTTCACTTAATCATGATGAATAAGAAGTTTTTTAAAGAAAGAACTATTATTGCTTAGTCAAGTTTATATTCATACCTTTTGCTATATAAAATTTGTTTTATTTGATAGAAATATATATTAGAAATAATTTGACGAAAAAATACATTAGAAATAAGAGATTTGTTAATACAAAAAATCTAAATTCATATATTTTGTTTTCAAAGTCGATTGATAAAAAGATTATTATATGTGTACTTTTTTAATCATTTGTTTTCAATGTTTCTATTGTAATATTTTGTTTAATTGATGCAAATATTATTATATATGTGTACTTTTTAATAATTTGTTTTCAATGTTTCTATTGTAATAATTTGTTTAATTGATAAAAATATTATTATATATGTACACTTTTTTAATTTTTGTCAAAATGTAACTTATAAAATTTACTTTATAAGATTTAATCATATACTTTTGGGTTATAGGTATAATATGCCCCTCTACTATGACGTTTTATCAAACATGCCCCTCAACTATGTTTTACATCAAACATGCCCCAATACTTTGTAAAAATGATCAAACATTGCTCTTTTGTTAAAATTTTCATCCAAAAACCGTTAACCAAGGCCGAACTTTAGTTTGGGCGACACAAATGACTAAAATATCCCTAATAAATTCACTTTATAATTTTTTTTTGGTTCTTTTGTATAATCAAATCATTCAAATAATTTCACTTTGAAATGACCCAGCAAAATAAAACAGGGGACAAAACTGACATTTTCTCTCCCATTTGCCGATGTCGGGTCGTCTAAATCTCAATTCAACCATGATTGACGATTTTTTCAATGGAAATTTTAACAGAAGGGCATATTTGATGTAAAAAATAGTAGAGGGGCATGTTTGATAAAACGTCATAGTTGAGGGGCATATTATACTTATAACCCTATACTTTTTAGTTAAACAAATTCGATATAGTCACTCTCTATTTCCATCTTTATATTTTTTTAATTGACAAAAATATTATACTTTTGTGTGTTTGTTTACATTCTCATAAAAATGTAATTTATTATTACATTTTAGTAAAAATGAGTAGAAATATTAAAAGAAGAGAGAGATAACTCCATAAATAGATCAATAAAGAATTTGTGTTTGCAAAAAAGTTGTCCACCTTGGCAACTTGTGAATTCTCCATGTGCTTATGTGGCAAAAAGTTACTTTTGAATTGCCATAATAGATAGATAGATATAGATATAGATATAGATAGATATAGAATATATAGATATAGATAGATATAGACCAGATTGATAGATATAGATATAGATTGATAGATTTCTACAGTTGGGATACCTCTAAATTGATAGCTATCTCTATCGAGAATTACCACGTACTAACTAATTAAGACAATTTCTACTATCGTAGTTAACTGAATTAATTAATTAGCCTTAAGAACGATATCTTTAAAATGATTGCATAATTCCCTATTTAACCCACTATCTCTTCTATAGGCAATTATGTCGTGTGAAATGTGTTCGGTTACTAGGTTTTCACTATCGTTATTAACCTAGAAAACTACAAATCATTGTGAAGTTGGCCAATCAACACAAAGCGTTAAACAGTTTCACACGATAGAAAATGGAGGAAAAACAAGTTGTGATTAAAACATCGAGGCTATATAATGAAATCCATAAGTTTCCCCCAGAAATTCCGGGATTAGTTCATGGTGAAAAGAAAGAACATAAACATGCTAATATTCAACATCATAAATAATTACCAAAACAAAGGAGTAGAGAAAGTACTAAGTGTTGAAGTTAACCCCCAACTTACAAAAGTCTTCCTTTCTTCAAAATCCTCAACTCCAAAGTGTGCCAAAGTGAGCTCTCTCTTTTGATTTTTCTCTCTAAAACTAGTCTCCAAAAATGTCTACTAAGCTCCCTAATTGCTTCCCTTTTTAAATCCATTTTCTGCAGATTTAATCCCACAAAACAAGGCACTTGCAGATCCCATTTCCAAGAGAAGGTTGCTATCAGCTCAAGTCTCTCTCCTTTCCATTTGCTCACTTCAAGAAAGCTGATCCAATTCCAATGATTTGTGAGGGCTGCTGACTATTGAGTGAAGATTCCAACCCATAATGGTTCGATTTGGGTCTTCATCACTTTGACGTCCTGCTGGGCGTTTGCCACTGCATGTCTACATTTTGACACTGCACCTACATTCTACCAATGCACTTTGTTTTGTTCAAAATCTTAGCTTCAAACTGTGTAAATCGCTACATGTCTTGGTAATGACACTAGGGTCATTCCATGGTCAATATGAACTAAATTAGAGCAATTTAAACACATACATATATAAAGATCAATCATTTATGCACAAAATACATGTATGTTTATGAAGCTTATCGCTCTAGCAATTTTGTACCTCCAAAGTTCCATAGGGAGTGGCCTCACTCCTACATTCACATAGGTGAGTCTATCAGAAGCACCCCCAAAGTAAAGTACTTCACTCCACATGGAGTATAGACCTCATTAAAAGTTTCTATTAACTCAACCTCTAGTCTTTGGGATTCATGCTTCACTATACATGATCTTTTCTTAATATTACTCATGACTTGTTATTACCCATTGAACTTTTCTTGGGATCTCCAGTCTATCGGGTCGGGTTACCGTCACTTGTAATTCATGGTTCAGTAGGCATAAGTCACGTACCCTTGGACGTATTCTGGATTTTCTCTCTAGCTAATCCTTTCGTCAAAGGATCGACTAGATTTTGTTCGGATCTTATACGATCCACCCTCACTGCTCCTATCGTTAGGAGTTCTCTTACAGTACTGTGCTTTCGACGAATCTGTCGTTTTTTTTTCGTTGTAGAACCGGTTCTCAACTTTAGCAATAGCTGCGGTGCTATCACAATGGATCAATACCAGAGGGGCCAGCATTTCCCATAGGGGAATCTATAACAACAATCCTCTCAACCAACTCGCTTCTTCACTAGCTGTTCTAGTGTTATCATCTCTGATTCCACAGTTGATTGAGCTAGCATTGTTTGTTTCTTAAACTTCCAAGACACGGCTCCCTCAATAATGTTGAAGACATACCCGCTGGTTGCCTTGGAGTCGTCTGATAGGGTATTCCAGTCTGCATCACTATACCCTTCTAGTACAGCAGGGAACCTTCGATAGTGTATACCAAGGTTCGTTGTTCTCTTGAGGTATCTCATGCCTTCTCTATAGCATTCCAATGCACTCTACTAGGACAGCTATTAAACCTGCCAAGCAATCACACGACATATGCAATGTCTGGTCGAGTGTAATCCGCCGCATAACGGAGACTGTCAATGATGCTAGCACATTCAGATTGTCTTACACTGTCTCAAGTGTTCTTGAATAAAGATCAATGTTAACAGGTGGAAAAACCAAAAATTTTAAGTGATTTGTGATGACGTGGCAATGACGTGGCGCCTTGACCGTTAGTCAACACGTTTGACCGTCTAAGATAACGGTCAAATTTTGGGGGTGGCCAATTTATTAACTTTGATGCATAGTTGAGCCCACGAAGTTATAAATTGAAAAGATTGATCAATATGTGAAAAGTTCGGATCATACAAATATATTAACCCTAATATAAACTAGAAACAACTCATTGTCATGTGAAACTGGAATGCAGATCAATCAGGTGGCCCATACCCCACCCATCACCTCTCATATACGTGTTGGTAGGAAATTTATTAACTTACAATCCATCCACATCAATCACCCACCCACCTATTGTGATCTCGATTAATTGCGGGTGAGTCGCGGTCAATTATCATATCAACCCAAATGCATAGGTGAGTTATAATTGGGTGAGTTCGGGTTGGCTACTAACCCGCCATTTGCTTCCAAGTTCCAAGCAAACGGAAGACATTAATCTATGGTGTTGCTGCAATCCTTCCCTCCACCAGTCAAATTATCTGAGCATATAAGTCTTCTAGAAGGATAAGGCCCTGGAATGTTTTACTGAACATCTTTATCCTCATAGATCCTTCTCTAACCTTAGTTTCTGTATGTCTCCATAGAAAATAAACAGACTCCTCACTGCTTCACTGCCAAATGCATGCATTTCTCTCCATCAGCAATCTGAGGCGCAAATTAAAGATCAGAAGTCAGCCTAATAAAACAGCTATTCAGAGTTCAGCTTATCTCAAATTCCACAAAAGAGCATTTCTCTACAGATTTGAATGAGCTTCAACAGAACATTCAAAATCTGCAAAGTACTCCAAATAGATTCTCACATCAATGCTAAAACATTTTTATTGAAGACAAATTGATTAACAATCGCCCCATACCGTTACATTGCAACCTGATGAGGAGAAGGCAAGACGTTAACAGCAAGATCAATTACACAGTTCCCCTGACCTGTGTCTGGTAAGTCCATATGTAAACAGTCCCAGAGTACAGACTGCCAAGGGTCCTGCCAAACCACAAAACCAATTAGCTAGGCAGAAAACAGACGCCTCGTCGAGAACCCCTTCATAAGTTAAAGCAGGAGAGCTGAAGGTATCGTTACCATGGGTTGGTGGGGTGCAGAGTGGATCAGGGAATGCAGAGGATAATGGACGATTACATCGTTTTGGGGCTTGAGTTGATCTTCTTCAAGTTTAGTACTCCTGAGTTTTTCCTTGAATGTTCTTATATAATACCCTCCCTTCGAAAGATCATTTCGACGGTTTGAGTTCACAACTGTAAATGGAAGTGGATTTTCCTGTAAAAAGGGTGTTGCTTGGGAGCAAAGCAAGATAAAGGGGTTATCTTTATAGACTTGATTCCTGATGTTCACAGATGGTTTGATACTGCTCTTTGATCTACCACTCGCTGTCACTGTCAGGAGATTGAAATTTTCCAGAATCCGTGGCCTTTCTTGCCATATGAGGGAAGCAAGATAGTAACTAGGTTCCATTGAATGCCACTCATGAGCTTCAAGTAGCAACTTTAAAAATACTTATCAATCCTCTTTTAACTTAATTTGTTAAAGTTGATAAAGGTAACTGCATTAACGCGAATATTTCCTCCATTGACCGGGTAAATCAGCAGCAAAAATAAAACTGGGAACTTGACTTGGTAAAACATGAGTAAGAGTTACATGAGTTCTGTTCAAAATTCAAACGACAACAGTTTAAACGACAAGTTATACTCCTCTTGCGTTAATAGAAGCTCATCAACACATCCAGGACACAGGTGAGAAACCATAAAAACATGATACGCCTTAGGCCGGAAACCACACCACCAAATAAGTGCTATTTTGATTCTGCAGCACCATTTTCAGTGGCACCACCATTCTTATCCGAGTACTGCGAGCAAGTTCTGGGAGATTGTTCATCTGGGTTGGTAAGGATCTCAGAGATGAACTTTATAAACGAACACAGCCCTCCCAGGAAGTTGTGATCAATAACGCCTTTGCCCTCAGTGACATGAGCAAAGTCAATAAGCTTGACTTCAGCAGCTGAACTCCCTCCTTTCTTCGGAAGCAATGGCTTCTTCTCATACAGCATGAGAACCGAACAAGAATTGAAATGATAGGTAGTCTGATCCTCGAACCAGGCCTTCAGCTCCAGCAACTGGGCCAAGATCCCAGTAGAACCACCATAAACACTCGATGCATAGCAACAATCGGGGTTGGATTCCAGGTCAGGAGAGGGGTCAGAGGAAACAAACCTTTTCAGGACCAACCTAACTTCATCAGCATCAAGCTTCTGAACGACCTTCCTCTCAGGCTTCCAAACTTCAGATTCTTTGTTACCATATACCTGCAGCCCTGATATCCTGAACCCCAGAGACAAACTGCTGGTTTCCATATCTTTCTTTAAGCACCTTTGAATGTAGTCCTCGGAAGACTCTGAGTACCATGTTCTTGAACCAATCTTAATGTCCATGACGCAGGGTTTAAACTGGCCTGAAGTGACGTCTTCCAAGACAAGGTGGGGTTTCCTGCCAGATCCATCGGATGCCTCTACAAGTTGAGTGCCATGAAAGACCGGGAAGAACCTCCTGATGTGTTCTGGAACCCTTGTGTTGGAAGAAAACGATGTGTAGAATGACATTTCCTTGGAGCCACGTTCATCACCCTGCAGAGGTTTGTAGAAGCGTCCTGAGTCGTCTATGAGGGGACCAAGGTGCCCGCCGAGGGCTTGATGGCCGGCAACCTGATGTTCTGGAACCTTAAGCATGGTGTGTCTGAAGGAAAGGAAACAAGTGGGGAATCTAGACTCTTGATCTTTTAACTGCCTCGGGAAGATTGTAAACTATCAAAATAACAAGTCTTAAATTAACCACCCCAACATTAAAAAAATCAAGCCACCAGTTACTTGACATAATAGATTAACATTAACATAATATATGAAAAGAGCAAAGAAGGACCCAATCACCCTGACTCCCATTTAAAAACTATCCTCTCATTTTCTGCTTTTGAAAAGTTCCTAATATCAAAATCAAGTCCTGAGCATGGCAACATGGAAAGGCAGCCAGCTTTTCTTAATCAGCAAAACTAAAGTAAGAAAAAACCTTGACATCACTTTCTAACATAACAAATTATGAAGAGAGCATAGAGAGAGATCCAAAATGATCAAAGCCATTAAGCATAGTAGCAATCTCTGTCCTACCAGGCTCTCATAGTTGCAATTAGTAGTAGAAAATACAGCAAAAGCCCCACCACCACTTGGATACCTGCAAATTAATCACTTCTGAACAGGACGAGATAAATAGTTATATCGAGAAACTGCAAGCAATACCAAATCTAGCGCGTTTCTAAAAGTTGAAGTTTCTATGAATACCCATCCTTACTTATTCAATTGACAGACAGATTACAGTTTCATGCACATGGTACAGAAGCAACGATTCACTCTGAAAAAGGTGAAGATGAGGAGATGTGGCTATGTTTATTGCAATTGCAACTTTATATTTTCCTAAAAAGAACCCCAATTCTGGAGGCTGGACATGGAAATGGAGCACCTATCAGAAAATCAGACCCTCTTCGCTCTCTGAACAGCAAAATCAAGAGAGCACCCCCAATCAATCCGCAGATCAAAGGCAGAAACCCCAAATTCAAAATTCGGTCACCCAATTGCGGAACAGGAGGAGGCTCACCTGTAGATGGCCTACGAGGAGGCGGTGGCGAATGGATCCGGGCTTAGATGGGAGTTGCCTATGGGTCTAGGCGACGACGATGAAGTCGCCGGAGCTGGACGGCGGGAAAGAAGGGCACGCAGCAAGGTGGACGCTTTCGACCTCTTGGAACGGTCTGTGGAAGGGGTTGGATGACGGGACCTTCGGAGGTGGTGGACGACGAGGTCGGAGAAGGTGGGCGGAGGTTTTCCCGCTTGCGGCAACAAGTTGCAGCAGTACTAACTCCTACGGATGGCAAAAATATCCGTAACCGTGGATATCCACCAGAACCCGGCCTAATCGGGTAGTGTAAAACCCGAACCCGAAGGACATTTAGTGGGTACGGGTAAAACCCGAACCCGAATATTGCGGGTAATGGGTGGGCATGGGTTTCTCAGTATCCAACCCGAACCCGCCTGATTATACACATACATATGTATTTTGTCTAGAAATAGTCATTATTTTTCTCTAAAATATTTTATATTTAGCATATAAATATAATATTTTCATGAAATTGTGTTGTTTTAATTAATTTTCTTCATTCTAGTGAATTATTGTCATACTTTTCCTCTTGTGTAATGTGAGAATACGTGTGAATGTAAACATATTAGTTGGAGTTATGAAGAGAAATCATTACCCATGGATAACCGTGGATACCCGAAACCCGAACGAGTATGGTCATGGTTTTAATTTTCTACCCGTTTTATATATGGGTATGGGTATGGGTAAAACCCGAACTACTTTGAGTAGGGTAACGGATATGCACTATCCGTCCCCGACCCGACCCATTGCCATCCCTACTAACTCCCGATAATAATTTCACCTCTTTGCAGCACTAACAAATTCCGCGGCTTTCACCTCTTCGTGGATTGTGGATTTGTGGTGACGGATCGAAGGATCAAATCCGATCCATCATAGAGCATCAATTCTATGTTTGCTTGAAAACTATGATGGTATTGAATTTGTGGGGTGGGGTGGGGTCCAATGATTTACAAGGTTGGAAATTGTTAAGCGCAATTAAGTTTAGAGGTGGAATCCAATTCGGTTTAATCGGTTGCTTTGGATGAGTAAATGGGTTGAAAGTTAATTGTTTAATTGTCAACTAAGACTTCCAAAGATAGGGTTAGGCAAATAGAAAAATTGGAAAAACCATCATATTTCGCATACCGAAGGGGTAAACCATCGTGTGACCTCCAACCCAATAATTGTGCAAGTGAGTCGATCCGCAAATATGTATGGTCCTTTTTTTTTTTTTGTCATAAACCACCTATTACCAATAACTTGAGTTGTTGGAAGAGACCCGTGGGAATGGGTTAGGGTGATTACTTATTTTTTAGTAATCACGGTGGCAACCTCTTTATATACCATTTGATTAATTATCTTCTCTTCTTTTTCAATCTTACGGTCAAGATTCTTTTAGGGTAATTTTGGAAATTAAAAAGTGACCACACCTGATTATTCTATATAATCTACCCAAACCCTAGTTCTATCCTCCCTCGCAGCCGTCTCCACGTAGCACTCTCGTTGCACCGGCGACAATAGCCCCGGCCACCCTCGCCCACCGCAGCGGCCTCCCTCCCCTCTGTGCCGGTACTCTCTCTCTCTCTCTCTCTCTCTCTCTCTCCAGCCCACTAACCTTCGCCGACGGCGCCGAGATCCCCGACGGGCTTCTCATGAATGAATCTTCTTGAAGATCAGCGACGGTGCCTGCCTGGCTCGATGCCGCTGCGTCTGCAGAGCATGGCGCCATCTACTCTCTGGTCCTTCCCTGATTCGGCATTCACTGCACTCTTCTCCTCTCTATGACAGTAGCAGCCATAATACAACCATAATCAGGTGCACTCTTCTCCTCTCTAATATTTTTTTGTTTATTGATTCAATGTGCAGTGGTATTGGTTACTATATGCAATGGTATAGATTGTTTATATTGGTAGTTTACGTGTAATGGTATAGATTTATTTCTGCAATGGTATTGATTGTTTATGGTATAGATTGTTTATATTGTTAGTTTTCGTGTAATGGTATAGATTTATTTCTGCAATGGTATTGATTGTTTATGGTATAGATTGTTTATATTGGTAGTTTTCGTGTTATGGTATAGATCACCGTAACCTATCCTTAGACCCGTGTATGGTACTTAAGCACTTCCTTACACGCCTCTTCAAAAGAAAGCCGACTCATTGGCTTGAAGTTTGCACAGGCTCGTCATACCATGTGCTTGAAGACAACTTGGGGGTTGTGAGTATTTGAACATGTGACCTCAAGGACAGACCAACTCTGATACCATGTTCTAAACCAATTAATCTCAATAACTCTAGTTGTTGTGAGAGGCCCATGTATAGTATTTAACCACTTCCTTACACGCCCCTTGAAACGAAAGCCGACTCATTGGCTTGAAGTTTGCATAGGCTCGCCATACCATGTGCTTGAAGACAACTTGAGGGTCGTGAGTACTTGAACATTTGACCCCAAGTACAAACCAGTTCTGATATCATGTTCTCAATCAACTAATCCCAATAACTCGAGTTGTTGGGAGAGACCAATATATGGTATTTAACCACTTCATTATATTTTTCACCGAATGAAAGATCCACCAGACCAGCGGTCCACCTGCCTGTCGACAAGGCCGATGGAATTTGAGATAAAATTATCCGGTCAAACAAACCCAGTGAAAACTAGTAAATTTTGGCTAACTCATCTTTTTTTTTTTTTTTTGGACTGACAGTCACAGAGCGATCGGGCCAGCATTAGGAAGCTGATTGACTACTATCCTGAGAGAAGGAAGGGGAAACCTTTCCGCGCAAGCAATCAATTTCCGGTTTCATCGGTGGATCAGCCGCCACCAATGATGAAGAAAGGGAGAATGTGGATGTCAGCGTCTCTTAAGGAGAAGATGGAGGAGGGAAGGCTTTAAAAAATAAAAAAATTCGCAATGGTGGACTTTGGCTGCAGATCCGTGAATGTGGTGATTGAGAGAGAAAGAGAAAGGTCACGCCGGCGGTGGAAGAGTGACAGAGAGGCACCGGTTTTGATGGAGAATCGAGAGAGATTGCGGTGGCTAGGAGACCACTGAGATAGAAAAGTGGGTTGGAAACTGGGAAGTGGTAAAAATTTTATAGAAAGTGTAAACTTTTGGCGGGTGGGTAAGGGACTAAGGGTGTGCAATGTTTCGTCCGGATGGGCTTATACCACAATAAATCGATATTTATGTCACATCATATTGAATCGAATATAATGTGATGTGATCGTTATATCATATTGGCAATGATAAGAACTTTTTTTGCCAATAGGAACAATATATTACAACTACTCAATTGTTTCTCATCTAATTGCTGCCTCTATATGTGATTCCTTCGTGATTCCTTCTTCTCCTTCAAAAACAATGAGAGATGCTCTCTCCTCGTTCGTAGTTTGGTCGCTCCGATTGGGTGACTGGCTTGTGCAAATCCTCGCCGCTCTTTGGAGGCGAAGCGTGGAAAATGAGGAAGGTTTTGGATCGGATTCCTTGGTGGATACGCGTCTTGTGAAAGAAAGTAAGAATGGTCACGGATGCTCAATTTCAGCAAGAGGAGAACAGCTGAGGACTAAATCTCGGCTGGTTGGTCGGCGCCCATCGATCAATTTGATGATGCCCAGGAAGGGTTTATGTAAAAGAAAGAGAATCCATCTGGAAGAGGATGTGGTTCCATTGATAGGGCACCCCGATATTAACCCTCAGAATAAAAAGAGGTGTAGGAGGGGTCGTCTTGCGGTTTGGAGATTCTGGCTCCCCGCGTCGTCTGATGTGGTAGGCGAAGCTTCGCTGTTATCTGCATCAGAGAAATCTATCCAACCAATTGTTATACCGAGTGATGACACTCCTGTCCCAACCGGCCGAAGTCCGACGGGGTTTGAGATGGGAGTGAAGACTGGGCAGCTTTTGCCAAAAAATGAACCGGTGAGTGAGCCACCGGGGACACGATATTACCCTCCCGCCGGCGAGATTTTGCGACTAACGGCATGTAGAGGCTCATTGCAGACCCGTGTCCGTTTGGGTCGTCGAGTGGTGTCGAAGGAATTGCGATCTCCCCCGGATATTGCGGGAGATTTGGGCGGTTTTGGGATAAATCCTACCCGCCGGGATAATTGTAATCCCGCGTTTTATGTTGGCTATGGGAATCCTGCTCCCCTGAGAAGTCTTAACAGTGTGATCAACATCCACGGGAGGAATGACTATGCACGGGGTGTTGGACTAGTATTTAAACCCATGTGGGCAGTACGAAGCGCCCTACTCTCCAGTACGATAGCGCCGACTTCTATCTTGCCTACAAAGCCCTCGCTGCAAACGTTGAACGCCGATGCACGCGCAGGTATGTGGTCTTCCCCTTTGCTCTTTGCTGAGCCAGAGCCTCCTCCTGTTGCTCAGACCCCCTCTGTTCTGGTTTCGAGCGTTGTTGGCTCGACTGCGGGTCTGTTAGGGTGTTGTGAGGTGGTGGTTGACCCGACCTTTTCCTCTTGTTGGCAGGTTCCTCGCAAGATGCCCCATGTGGTTGATGAGCAGATTGTTCAATTCTCCATTGAGGAGGTACAATCAACAAGATTCCGTGCTTCGCGCACGCTACTGGGAAGGCTCTTCACTAATGATCCTATTTCGACTTTGGAGCTGCGGGATGGCCTGCTTGATGCATGGAAATTACGTGGCCATCTTAAAATCTTGAAAACCAAATATGGTTTGTTTGAGATCATTCTGCCGAATGAGGAAGCTAGGAAGTGGGCATTAGCTCGTAGTCCTTGGATTATCAAGGACAAACTGCTTACGCTTCGTTCATGGGCGCCGACCATCACCAAACAGCATTTTGAGGAGATGGCGCTGGCTCCTTTTCGGCTACAGCTCTGGGGAGTTAGGGAGGAGTTACGTACGAAACTCTTTGGCCAGAAGATGATTGCTTCTGCTGTTGGCCAGGTGATCAACTCCAACATCTTTGCTTGTACTGAGACAAACGAGCGCTTTATTAAAGTTAAAGCAGTGATTGATTTCGCCAAGCCCCTCCGCTCCCAAGTGATGGCGGTTAATGAGGAAACGGATAGCTTTTGGGTGAGCCTCAAGTATGAGCATTTACCCAGCTTCTGCTTCCATTGTGGCCGGGTAGGCCATGCTCGACGCGATTGTGTCTTTGATCCGCCCAAAGGAAAAGAACGTTTCGGTCCTCATATGATGACCAAGAAACTGGGACGCCAAGTTTATGATGAGGATGATCAGCCGATGGTGTTTGGGGGCTCAAGGAACTCGGTATGAGTCAATCGACAACCTCGTTTGCAGGAGACTGGGACTGGGCGAAAGGAGTATAACAAGGCGGGGAAAATCCATTCTACTGGCCAGGTGGGTCGGCAGAAAGAGCACCAACCACCCGCTGGTCACGACAGCAGGGAACCCCAGCCGGAGGATATGCAGGTGGATGTGGAAATCGTGCGCTCGCCTGTGCGACGCCAAAGCCCGAAAGGTTTTATCATGAGCAAGCCTCCCAAAGTCAAGTTGGGTGGAGGTGGAAAATTGAAGATTGCGGTGGCCACAAAGGAGACAGCCAGCAAGGTTGCAGGAGGGAAGAAGGGAGGGCGGCGACCCCAGCTGCCAGGTCGTGAGGGTCGGGGATCACCTGCCCCGGCAGAGGTGGTGGCTCCGGCAGGTGGTATCGCGGAGCAG